GAGAGCTGAAGCAAGAAGGTAGAGCATGCCTTGTTCAAGCTCAGCAGGAAATGCATCCGTCAGGTCACTAACATTTTTCTACGTGTCTAGAATGACCACAAAAGTATTAGGTTGTTGCAAAAGTAATTACTTTTAATGACAAAGACTGTAAATACTCTTATAGCAACCTAATACTACGAGTAGGCTGGGCGCAGGGGCTCACACCTGTAGTCCCAGCACTTTGGGAGGCTGAGGCAGGGGATCACTTGAATTTAGGAGTTGGAGGCAAACCTGGCCTACATGGCCAAATCCTGTCTCTACTAAAAAACACAAAAATTAGCTGGGTGTGGTGGCCCACACCTGTAATTCCAGCTACTTGGGAGGCTGAGGTGAGAGAATTGCTTGAACCTGGGAGGCAGAGGTTGCAGAGAGCTGAGAGCACACCATTTTACTCCACCCTGGGAAACAGAATGAGACTCTGTATCAAAAAAAAAGCTCTGAGTATTGATTTTGGGATTACAGATAAATGTCAGTGAGTAGGCACACTTGCCAGTACTTTAGTGAGTAATGAGGATCAACTCTGTGTACAGCAGTAAGAATGAGGCTTCAGGCCAGGCACAGTGGCTCACGCCTATAATCCTAGCACTTTAGAAGGCCAAGGTGGGTGGGTCCCCTGAGGTCAGGAGTTCAAGACCAGCCTGGCCAACATGGTGAAACCTCAGCTCTACTAAAAATATAAAAATTAGCTGGGTGTGGTGGCACATGCCTGTAATGCCAGCTACTTGGGAGGCTGAGGCAGAATTGCTTGAACCTGGGAGGTGGTTGCAGTGACCTCAGATCATGTCATTGCACTCTAGCCTGGGCAACAAGAGCAAAAGTCCATCTCAAAAACAAACAAACAAAAAGAATGAGGCTTCAGAGTGAAGAGGAGGGAGCCATAGACAAAGGATAATTTACAAAGGTGTCACAAGGAAGCTAAACTTTGAGGGATAAGTCAATTCCCCAGGTAGGAGGGGGGTCCGGGTGGGGTAGGCACCATGCACAGAGGCATGAGGCAACATGGGATGAAGTGATGTCTTTAAGGCAATAATGAGGACACCAGAGGTGAACATGTCAGGAAGAGCCCTGACATCCAGGAACCTGGGAAAGGCAGCGCTTCCACACCCACCTCTTCTCACAGGGCTGGTGCGCGGTGGGTGGTGCCAACTGCCGTTACAGAGAACCCCCAACTCAGTGCTTTGACCCAATAAGCACATGATTTTTTGCACATATTAGACTTCAACATGAATGATCAGTGAGCAGCTTTTCAGAAGTGATTTAGGAACCTAGACTCCTTCAAAACTATATCTTCTCCACCCCCGAGGACCTCAGAGTTCTGGCTGATGATCAGTAAAGTGGAAAGTGGAAGGTGGACAGTTGCACAGGGTGTCTACATGCCGCACCTTGAAGGCCCACGTCCGTTCCATCTACACCCTATCATCACATGGCCCCACCTAGATGGGAGAGGGGATGGGAAGGAAGTCCCAGCCGGAAAGCTGCTTCCCAGGAACATATTTACTACATGTTCATGTACCCTGGAGGAGAAACGTGACTGTTGGTGGACAGCTAGCCATTTCTGCCACAGGCCCTCAGATTAGTGCATCAGACCATAGGGCAGAACTGAAAAGACGCGGTGGTGAGTGATTCTATGGAAATGGAGTGTCAAGGTGCTGTCTAGACAGAGTCGATAGCCAATAAATGCCTGGTCAGTGAATGATAAATGCATTATGCCTCATTCCCAGCCAGGTGGCAGGGAAGGAACATTCTCGTTTTTCCTGCAGTCAGACACATTGCTTCCTGTACGTGATGTCTGAATCCATTTGGGCTGCTATAACAGAATACCATAAACTGGTGGCTTATAAATGACAGAAATTTATTTCTCACAGCTCTGGAGGCTGGGAAATCCAAGATCAAGATGCCAGTAGAATCTGTGTCTGCTGACTTCCTAGTTCATGGAGGCATCTTCTCACGGTGTCCTCACTTGGTGGAAAGTCCAAGGAGCTCTCTAAGACCGTTTCATAAGGGCAGTAATCTCATTCCTCAGGGCTCCCCTCTTATGACCTAATCAACCCAAAAGGGTCCCACCTCCTAACCATCACCTTGGGAGATTCAACGTCAAATTTTGGGGAGTACATACATTCAATTCATAGCACCTGAAGAGGAAACACGGCCATAGGAATAGAAAGAGGGATGCCCAGAGTGAAGAGGTCTAGGTAACTGCAAGTCTGGGCTGTACCTATGACTATTCTGTCAGTTTATTTCAACTTCATTTGGGATTTGGGCTACACAGAGTTTCTGCAGGACTTGGAAAACCCAGTGCATGACTGAATGGTGAGAAATGGTTTGGAGGCTGGGCGCGGTGGCTCACACCTGTAATCTCAGCACTTTGGGAGGCTGAGGTGGGCAGATCACGAGGTTAGGAGATCAAGACCATCCTGGCCAACACAGTGAAACCCCATCTCTACTAAAAACACAAAAAGTTAGCTGGGCATGGTGGCACGCACCTGTAGTCCCAGCTACTCAGGAGGCTGAGGCAGGAGAGTTGCTTGAACCCGGGAGGCAGAGGCTGCAATGAGCCAAGATCACGTCATTGCACTCCAGCCTGGGTGACAAGAGCAAGACTCTATCTCAAAAGAAAAGGAAAAAAAATAAAGAAGAAATGGATTGAAATAGCCTGGAAAGACTCCGGGGAGGAGAGAACAGGAGGAGTGCATGCGCGCGTGCACGCACACACACACACGTGCACGCACACACACACGTGCACGCACACACACAGCCAGGACTCTTCTTTAGTCTCCATGTGGATTTCAATCCAGCCTGGCCTGCAGTCGCCTCATAACTCCACATTTCCAATTTATTAATCCAATGCCATCTATGAGGCAATGTTGCAGGCCCCACTGGTGCTTTTGCATTTGATGGTTGCTGAATATCTAACTATGCTTCAGCAACTTCCATCTATGCCAAATGAGAAAAAAACAACCACCACCTTTTCTCGCCAGAGCAAATTCACACTCAGCAAGGATAATCACAAACCCTCCACAGGTGAACACATCAGAATAAATGAGCAGTCAACACACCCACCAAGGCATGTGAGTTATGGTGTCAAAGCAGCTGTCAGGGACAGTCCTGGGGTAGGGGATGCCTCCCTCTCCTCATCACAGGCACCACTTGAAAAATGCAGGAGAGGGGCTGGGGGAAATTGCTGTAACTCGGGTCATCTGTGTGCCTGTTCCCTGGTGTCCCAGGGTCAGGAGTCCTGAAGCTCATCTGGCCTTGGCAGCTGCTGCAACGGAATCTTTCCCATGGCTCAAAACATTGGCCTCTATGACCTCATTTACATTTATTGTGTGTGCCTTAGAGGGGGAGAGAGTAACACAAAAGCATGGCTATAGAAAAGCGAGGAACGGTTTTTACTCAAACACAGAATGGTCGGTAGCAGACCCGAGGTTGTACTACTTGGAGATAAAAGTCTTTAACTCTGGGCCCTAATGCTGTCCCTGCTCCCCACCTGCCTGCCAGACTTCCACCTCCTCCTCACCTGATCCAGCACACACAGGCTTGGCTGGGACACGCGGAGAGGGAAGAGCCAGGCTCAGCCAGCTCCTAGCCCTTGCAGAATGGTGCTTTAGAAACCCGTGCTGCACAGGAAAGCATGTGACTTGGTCCCTGGCCTGTCTCCTCATTGCCTCCAACAACTTTCCTAAAGGGAAGGTAAAGTCTTGTCATCCTCTGCTCCCTCCCCTACAGTGTGGAAATGCCTTGGAATTTCTTCCCTTGGACCTCCAAGCCATGCCCCTTGGGAAAGTGCCAGGAGAGTGTTGGGATACTCAGAGGTGGGGACTCTCAGTTACCTGCTTTGGGTGACTCTGGCCTTAGCTGGCCCTGAGGTGGAGGCCGCCTGGGCACTGTGGGTCAGAGGAGGTCTGCTTCAGCTCCCCCAAATGTGGGGATCTTCCATCCCCAAGTGACCCTCTCAATCTTTGGGACTTCCGTGCTGTGAACTGATCAAGAGAGTATATGATCCAGCTCCTGACTCAAGATCCCTGCCTGCTTGATGAATGGGGAGGGAAGGCGGATGGAACAGCCATGAAAGACACCTTACCCTGGGACGAGATCACGCAGGCAGGCAGGTGGGCAAAAAATGAGTCTGTTTCATCAGCCACTGTTTAATTTCTTCGTAGCTGTACTTTCTGCTTTATTTCCAACACAAGCAAATCTAGATGTGTGCAAAAGTCACTCCATCACCCAGCACAGCATTACCTAAGATCTATTATGATGCAGCTTCATGCCCATTAAGGTATTCCCATGCCCCTCACAGGGCAGCGTGCATCTGTTTTGGTGCCACCTAATGTCTGTTAGGTGCAAGCTGGCTCACACGTGGCTCCTAGCCAGAACAGTCTACAAGCGACAGCGTGGCCAGAGAGCAGAGACAGGAAAGAGGCCCAGCCCTGAGTGTGGGAAGCTGCAGAACCACAGCAGGATGCTTCTGCTAGCCCCAAATGTCCTCGCAGATACCTCCACATCAATGCTTTGTGCTCCCTTTTCTCCCTTTTCCTGGAGATCCCTTCCTTCCGAAAGTCACAACTGTCTGCTCTTGAGCTTGCATTGAGGGAAGGAAATAATTTAGATAAGCAGAGAGGAAGACAGGCGAGGGATCTGGTGGGGCAAAGGCAGAATCCCCCCTCTCCTGTAGGAGGGAGCTGATGGAAAAGGGATCACCATCTAGGAGCTCCCCGCAGGCAGGAAACATGTGCCAGTAGCAGGCACACCTAGGGCTCTGCAGAGGGTTGGGGGAGCATGTCGCCCAGTTTGTGCCGCACTGAGCACTGGCTAGAAGAGGAAGGGGCCCAGAATGCCATCTGGACACAAGTGCTCCCTTACCACTGGGGCCTGGTCATCTCAGGCTTTTGTGTCGGCTCAGCCACTCCCTCTACAGATAATGCTGCTCAAGGCAAAGAGGCTTAGGTGGGTCTCCAGGGCAACCACAGCTCAGAAGCTGGCCCGCCCCCATGGTTCATCAGGGAAGCTGTGGCTCCAGCCTCCTGGGACACACACACACACACACACACACGCACGCACACCCCACAAACAACAGCCCAGGCTGGATCTTTCCTCTGGTCTCTTCTCTTGGTAAAACTTCTCAGAGACTCAAAGAGAGGACCCAAAATCCTGAGGCCAGCTGGCAGCAGCAGGGAAGCCAAGGGAGGCTAGAGGATGTAGTCTGCCCTGCCCTGCTGTGGCTGCTGAACTCTCTTCTTTTTCCTGAAAACATCCAGACTCTTTCTTCTCCCAGACTGGGAAGCAGAACACAGGCCCCCTGCTGCAACACTGCCCCTGAGCAGAGGCTGACGTCAGAGGTAAGAGGGAGGTCTCCCCAGGAGACAGTGTCTTTCCCACCCGCGCCCTGGCACAGCTGCACCTTTGGAAGTTAGGGCCGAGGCCTGGAGCTGGGTGGGGTGGCCTCAGAGGGTGTGGCAGGCTGGAGAGCATAGAAAGCCATCCACCACCAGGGCCCAGATGGCCACAGGGAGGCCCCTTCGGTCCTCACCAGTTCCACAGGAATTGGCAGCCCCTGCAGCATCCTCGGGGCTACAGCCTGCTCCTTGTTGTGTAAGCCTGTGGGAGGCCATCGCTTCTGTCTGTTCTGGAACTACGAGCCCCTCGGGAGGACTCAGCTCCAGCAGGTTCCCTTCTGCCTTTATAGAGCGGACATGGGCAGGGGGAAGGAAAGTGAAACCCAGATCAGAGACTCTTGCATCGGTTTGTGAACTGTGATTCAAGCACCTACTAAGTCCAAGGCACAGAGTCAGGCTCTGGGGATGCCGCAGCGCCCAGCGCCCGAGGGTGATGGATGTACCTCAGTCCCCTCTACCACAGAAGAGTCTGTGCATCCCTGGTAACATGCCCAGGAGAGCGGGGTTGGGCAGATCGGTTCAGGGTGGGGCGCCAGGGAGAAGATCAGGCTTGGAAGGGAAGTCTGGCTGCAACCAAGGCATGAGGGTCGGTCCCTTCCCACTGTGATCATCAGACCTGTGTTCATGTCCTCTCCAACGGCACCTCTGCCTCAGAATGGGGAGGACTGGCTGCCATTCACTCATTCATTCAGGAACTGCTTATCAAGGGCCACTGTGTGCAGAAGATTCAACCAGCACACCTCCCGCCCTTGAAGAGTTCATAGCTGGGTGCGGGAGAGATAAATACACCAAAAATGTGAGAAACGTGTCTGCTGGATGCTGTGGTGCTGGGCCCCTGTGCCAGGCCCTGGAGGTCGGGATCAGTGCTCCATGGGTGGGTGTGGAGGGGCCGGCTGCAGAGAGGAGTTGTTTCTTGAGGGGTTCCTGACAAGTGAGCAGATATCTGTCAGGTGGGCACAGGATCCACAGGTCAGGCCTTCTCACACCTGACTTGGTGGATTACAGGTTATTTTTCTATGATGCCAAAGAGAAATAAGATCAATCTGCAATCTGTAAAGTTGGAATTAGGCCTTATCAAACACAGGGCTGGGAGGAAGATTAGCCAGAGAAGCGCCTACTCTCTGCCCTACTGAGAAGTCTCTGCCCAGCCTGAGGTTCTGGGGTCAGGAGAGTCAGCCTGCCGGTGCAGTGAAGCAGCTGGTGCTTTGGGACAGCCTGGCTCAGGTGCTGCTCTGTGCCCGGGCCTGGCAGATCACACAGGGCAGCCCCTCTCCCTGGCCTGCAGATACCCAGCTCAGCTTGAGAGGTGGAGGACCCGGGTCGGGTCCGAGGGCCATGGCTCCCTTTGCACTGAGAAATCAGCCTTCCTGGACAAGGTCTGCACGCCCTCACTGGTTAGCTGGAGCCAGCGCGGGGCCTCGGTTCTCACTAGAGGTGAGAGCACTCTCATCCCTGCCGCAGGGGATCAGAGCCCTGTTTCTAGCTCCAAGGGCACACTCCACATGGTTCCCACCATTGAAACATCCCTGGCCCCCCTCTGAGTGCCAACTGCATGGAACCAGAGACTCTTCTTGCCCTTCAGGCACCACAGAGAGTTCTTCCAGCACAGCTAACGAGCCACAGCTGGCAGTGGCGCCTCCCAGGGAGCCGCAGGAAAGACTATCCTCAGGGGTGTGCAAAACAGGCTGAAAGGAAGGCTCTGACAGTGTGTGGGTGGGGGGAGGGGCAATGAAGAGGGAAGGAAAGAGGAAAGGGGACACCAGAGAGTGGACGATAATGGGCGTGGGTGAGTGATGCCAAAGGACAGCGACAGAGCACACGAGGGCTTCCCAGCATCCGCTCTGCTCTGTAAACCCGAGGCCGCACTACCTGGGCCTCTTGAAACAGGGAGGCTCAGCTCTCCCAACGCGGTGACCAGAAGCCAGGGCTGCGGAAGGCCAGGAACCAAATTGGGGTCAAGATTACACCAAGCCAGGTGGTCCTTTACTTTGTGTGCCCTGGGCCCCTTTGGGAGTCTGTGAAGCCTGTGAACACATTCTCAGAAAAATGCTTCTAAATGCATAACAGCAAGTTGATTGGGTTCCCAGTCTCAGCTGTGGGTCAGGTTCTGGGGATACCCTGGGATAAGGAAGCCCCTCTGGAGTTTGTCTGGCTTGCCCACCTGCCTCTCTGTCCCTATTTTTCCTCCCTCTGTCTCTCCCTCCCTCCTTTGCCCTTAAGAACTTAATCAGACCCACTGAAGAGCCTCCTGGGGGAGCAGCTGGCACCAGGACAGAAATAGCACCAGCAGAAATCTTGTCTCTGCCAAGGCCTCCAGTCCTGGCCAGAGTTGCAGGGAGTGAGGGGTTGGGGAATAGATGACCCAGAACAACTTCCACCCCTGTGAGACCCTACACCTGGGCCAAAGAGACTCAGAGCCCACAGAATTCAGGACTCAGGTGGGATCTCCCCACTCAGCCCCTGCCATCTGGAGCTGGGGGTGGCAGGTGACAAAGCACCTTCTCTAGAGGCCAGCTCAGGTCAGGAGCCTTAAGCCTAGAGAAGCGGGACCCCACACAGGCTGCACCCCAGGCTGCACTCGGGCTTGCTTCTGGCCTCACTCTGCCTCAAGGAGAGGAGTCTAGGGGTTCAGGAGACATGCCACCCTGTGGGCACTTCCTTCCAGATCGGGCTTAGGGAGTGAAATCAGAATTCCCTGCCAGACAGTCACCCACCCACTTCCCCACAGAAGGGGCCACTGAGCGGGGCAGGTGGCAGTGCCAGCGAGCAACACTAATTCAGAGGGTGGCAAAGAGGTGGCTGGTTGTGGGGGTGTGGTTGGGCCGTGGAGGTGGAAACTGGTGTGTCCCCATGCATGTTTGCAAAACCCTTTACCATTTGGGTGAAGCAGAGGTAGGAAGAGAGGCAGGCAGGCTGGGTGCCAGGAGCTGTCCCCACCCGCCTCCGTGTGCCAGAAAAGAACTCTGAGAAGTCCAAGAATGCTGTCTGAATCTTACCCTCCACGTTGTTGGGAAGGTATAGTTGACAAGGAAGGAAACGGAACGTGCTTTATTTCATAGTTCGTTAGCTTACGTGGCCATGGCATGGATATTCTGAAGTCCATTTAACCTGGAGGTAAAAGTTATCTTCAATGTCTCCCATTGCTTCTCCCACATTTCTCTCGGCCACAGGAGAGCCCTCCATAGCCAAGCCACTCTCTTGCAATCTTCTTTCAGCTCAAATGCAAAACCAGATTAAGAAGAAAAAAAGCTCCTAAGGAGCTTTGAAAAATGCCCTCTTGTTCAGGGTCAGGTCCGGTCAGGTCTGCAGGGCTTGTTCCTTGATCCAGCCATATGGCTTCTCCATCACTGATTCATTCCTTTGTTCGGGCACTCATTCATTCGTTTGCTACTATTAAGTGCCTACTGACTACGTGCCCAGCAGCGATGGAAAGGTGAATAAGGCACAGATCCTGTCCACATACCACACCCAGGGTCGGGGAGGTAGGCAGTCATGCTCAGTAAAGTGCTCTTGAGCTATGAAAAACACCTGTGCGGCCAGGTGTGGTGGCTCATGCCTGTAATCCCAGCATTTTGGGAAGCCAAGGTGGGTGGATCACGAGGTCAGGAGTTTGAGACCAACCTGACCAACACGGTGAAACCCCATCTCTACTAAAAATACAAAATATTAGCTGGGTGTGCTGGTGCATACCTGTAATCCCAGCTACTCAGGAGGCTGAGGCAGGAGGCAGGAGAATGGCCTGAACCCGGGAGGCGAAGGTTACAGCGAGCCCAGATCGCACCACTGCACTCCAGCGTGGGTGACAGAGCAAGACTCCATCTCAAAAAAAAAAAGAAAAACATCTGTGTAGAATGCAGTCAGGGGACAAGGTAGAGAGTGGTCACATCTACCTGGGAGGTGGAAAGGTCAGGAAAAGCTTCCGAGGGTGCTGACCCTAGCTAGACCTGGTCTCCACGCAGAATGGGCAGGCATTTCAGGCAGAGGAAGGAACACTGACAAAGGCATGGAGCTGTGAAATAGTCCAGCACGTTCAGTAGCCCTTGCAGGAACGAGTGACTAGGCATGCTTGTAGTACTTTTCAGTGGCTACACTATTCACTCTTTTGGTGCTGAGCATCAACCTAAGCCATATACTTTTAAAAAGACTCCAGGGAAAGTGACATATTCAGTTACAGTTACAGCCCTTGTGCCTGATGGAATCCTTTAGCCTTAGGCAGAGACTCCTGGTGCTCATGGCTCTCTAGCCATAACACCCCCAATCCTGTGCTCCTACCCCACAGTACACACAGCACTGCCCAGCTCCTTTATTCTGGGAACATAAAGCAGGTAAGGGCTGAAAAGTAAACGTCCTAGCTGCTATTGACCCCAGGAGTAGGGTCTAATGGTCCATTCTTCTGTCTCAACCTCCCAGGTAGGGATCAGCTGTGTAATCTGAATCCTCCATTGACGATAGGCTTAGGTTGAGTGAAGAATGAAAGTTTTCAGATTTCTTTCTTTCTTTATGTTTTTTGAGATGGCGTCTTGTTCTGTCACCCAGGCTGGAATGCAGTGGCACCATCTCAGCTCACTGAAACCTCTGCCTCCCCAGTTCAAGTGATGCTCCTGTCTCAGCCTCCTGAGTAGCTGGGACTACAGGCACGTGCCACCACGCCCAGCTAATTTTTGTATTTTTAGTAGAGACGGGGTTTCACCGTGTTGGCCAGGCTGGTCTCAAACTCCTGATCTCAAATGATCCACCTGCCTTGGCCACCCAAAGTAGCTGGGATTACAGGCATGAGCCACCATGCCTGGCCTGTTTTCAGATTTCCTAATTCTGATGGTTGCTAAAGGAGTTGGTCATTCAAATCTCCAATGGTAAGTAGGGATTTAGTTGTGGCCTTCCAGAATTTGCTGCTATCCCATAGTAATGTTCCCTCTGTGCCTGATTCTCTACCTTAAAAATTCATTTCTCTGAGTTAAGAATTGGGGTGCAGGGTGGTGGGAGGGTGGCCTAAAAATGCATGTGTCCTCCAGAGGTGACACCTCCCTCATCACCATGCTGTTGAGACTGAGCTCATCCGACCTCTTTCTCTGCATCTGGAGGGTCTAAGCAGGAAAAGGATCACTGGCTCATGGAAGGGGGAACTTCCTGGAGGGAGGAAGGTGCAGAAAGGGAAGTGGGGTACCTTGAAGACCCACTTCAGGCTTTAGCTCGGGAATGTCATTTCCCTTCACTGTTGTTAGAAGTACAGACCACATCTGACAGGTCATGGAGTAGCTCATTCACCCATTCATTCATTCATTCATTTATTCATCTATTCAGTCAGTCCTTTATCAAATCTGTATTAAGCAGGCCCGTTTGGGGGCTCCATGATGAGTTAGGGTAGCTGCCGTCATACCTCCTGCTCCACTTAGCTGTCTCACCTGTTCTGTGGCTGAATCCTCCCTCCACCTGGGACCCCTTCTCCATCAGACCATGAGTCTGAAGCTCACAGTCACCTCTCAGCCCGCTCTGGCCCCTTTCACCATCTAGGGTTACTCCTTCCCCTCTCACATCAGGGCTGACTCTATGCTTCCCCAGAATTCCCTCTCTCCATTGATGTCAATGCGTTTACTCATCAAATCTTGCATCTTCTGGAGAGCAGGATCCTGCGATCCTTTCATGTTTGTGTCCCTCCACAGATTTGTACACAGTGCTTGATTAATGCTGAATGGATGAATGAATGAATGGTGGGTAGGCTGGGTTTCTTCAGGTTAATGTCAACCCCATATGGTTCTAAGTGTCCTTCATCAATAAGCTGGAGGCATTTAGAAACTGAGGGTGTTTTCCTGGTACATTGACAAAGGATGCATCTGTCCCGAGTGTGTGTGTGAGAGTGTATGTGTGTGTTCTCCTAGATTAACATAGGATGTATCTGCTCTGTGTGTGTGTGTGTTCTCCTAGATTAACATAGGATGTTTCTGTTCTGAGTGTGTGTGGGTGTGTGTGTTCCCCTTAAATCACAGGGAAAGCTTGTGCTTAGCCAAAGTCAGTATGTTTCCTGCTTTGTTGGGAGTTAGTGGGGATGCAGAAGGCCATTTCTCTGGGCATGATCCTGGGGATGCTTTAAGGATTGTTATAACCGTTAGAGTCTCCTACTTTTATATGATCTTACAGTATACCAAGTTTATTCACAATTGCTTCTCACAACAGCCCTATCTTGTCTTACAGAATTAGAAATGATTGCCCACACCTACTTGAGGCCACTCAGCTGTGACGGCAGAGCAGGTCTTTTCCCTGGCTCCCAGCTCTCCTCCCTGCCCCTTGGATTCCCGGGTTCTCCACCCTAACTAACAGAGGGGCCCAGGAAAGACGCACCCCTGTCCTGTCTCAACAGGACCAGGGGCCATGTCCCTCATCTCATGGCTTCGGTGGAATGAGGCCCCATCCCGGCTGTCCTCCAGGAGCCCTGCTGAGATGGTGCTGGAGACACTTATGATGGAGCTGACGGGGCAGATGCGAGAGGCTGAGAGGCAGCAGCGGGAGCGCAGCAATGTGGTCAGGAAGGTCTGCACTGGTGTGGACTACAGCTGGCTGGCCAGCACACCCCGGCCCACCTATGACCTCAGCCCCAGTGAGCGGCTACAGCTGGAGGATGTCTGCGTCAAGATCCACCCATCCTACTGTGGGCCTGCCATCCTCAGGTGAGCGCTGGGAGGGGGACCTCTGTTGGGCTGCAGGCTCCAGGAAAGCTGGCTGCAGTGGCAGGGGCCTGAGGCCACCATGACTAGAACCAGGGAGCCTGGAAGACCTAGCTATCTGTTAGAAGGAGCAAGAGGGGAAAAGGAATCTGAAAGAGACCAGGAATGCTGGGCTAGGGTTAGAGTCCAGCGGGAGGAAGGAGGCAGCTCCTGGAGGCGTGTGAGTTTTGATTCATGAGAACACAATGCCTTTGAGTTTTCTCTTCTCCTGCCCAGATGGTTATTGTCCTGGATTTTGATTTACTTGGCTTCTTTTCTTTCATCAGTTTATCTCCAATATTATCTTATTGGAGAAGTTTTCCCAGATGTCTCTCCAAAATCAGATTCTTAATTATCCTAGCTTATGTTAGCTTTCACACTAGTCTGCCCACAGGTGAGTGAGCGCCCACGTGTGTGTGCGTGTGTGTGAGAGAGAGAGACAGTGAGAAAGAGAGGGAGAATGTGTGTGTGTATACAGGAAAAGTTCAGACAGAACCCTGGGGCACTGCTTGAATACAAATGTTCCAGAACATAAATGTAACCTTACTGAAGCTGTGACCACATGGCCCTGTCTCAGAAGGATTGGTGCTGAGGTCAAAGCAGCATTGGGTAATTTCAAAATAACTCAAGTTCTTTATCTACACTTCTCTTCATAAAGGAATATAAATCCACAATAAAACATCTTAAAATTCCTGTTAGTCTCCCAAAATCTTCCCTCATCCATCCCTTTAACCAACATATGCATTAATTGTACACCTTTTTCTTTGAAATTGCCTTTAAAAGCTCCTCTCCTTCAGCTCCATTCACCTTCCTCAGCTCCATCCACACTCCTTGGTTTTTGTAGTTGCTTTTACCGCCCCTCCCCTTTCTTCATCCAGGCCGAGAACCTCCCCCTCCCCCAATTTTCTGATTCTGCACTGTGGAAACCTCCCAAAGTGTATCTATTCCAGAAGCACTTGGGGACAGGGGTGGGTCATGGGATGGAGCTGCTGATAAGGGAATCTGGGCTAGCAAATCAATCCTCAAAAGTGAGGGGGAAGGCTGGGTACACACAGGTCATGATTTTCCTGTCTCATTTCCCATCTCCTGTCACTGCTGAGAAGACTGAGAAGTACTGACTCTCAAGCTGGTGGAGGAAATCTGGTATTAAATAGACTTGCTAACCTTAACTCATGAGCTCTAAGCAGAGCTAGCAGGCAGAGCAAACAGCTTGGGAAAACACACAGGCCCCCGGGAGAACCTGGGACATGTGGGGGCCACAAGTGGTTCTTCCGGGTTGATGTGTAGGGTCTTCTGGGGAAGTATCAGGAGACCCCTGTTCATGGCAAACAGCTCACCTGGAAGGAATATCATAGGTGCAGTGACATCATCAGATATATGTTTCAGAAAGATCATGCTGGCCAGTGGGTAAAGAGACAGGAGAGGCTTGGCCAGAAGGCCTCCCTCCCATCAGTAAGGCATCCACAGCAAAGGACTCCCCTTAATGCTCCGTCATCAACAACCTTAGGTAAGTGTCAGGCTCTTTACACACCTTAGTTCATTATAGCTCACAAAAAGGCAGCTATCATCTCAGATTAGACGAGGAGGCTGAGGCCCACGGAGGCCAGAAGGGGCAGAGCTGGGTTTTGAACTCAGGATTGGTTGAAGCAGTAGCAACGTGGGGTGGTTCCTGATTCGCTTCAGGAGCAGGGTAGCGTGGGCAAACTGGCCACCAGGATGTATGGGCAGCCCCTCGGGGTTAGACACCCCGGGTGCCAGGCCCGCTATTGCGGGCGAATGGTCCCACGTGCCCTCCCCTCCCGCCCAGGTTCCGGCAGCTGCTGGAGGAGCAGGAGCCAGAGGTGCAGGAGGTGTCCCGGCTTTTCCGCTCGGTGCTGCAGGAGGTCCTGGAGAGGATGAAGCAGGAGGAGGAGGCCCATAAGCTGACGCGCCAGTGGAGCCTGCGGCCCCGCAGCAGCCTGGCCACCTTCAAGACCCGCGCGCGCATCTCTCCCTTCGCCAGCGACATCCGGACCATCTCCGAGGACGTGGAGCGGGACACGCCGCCGCCGCTGCGGTCCTGGAGCATGCCCGAATTCCGGGCTCCCAAAGCTGACTGACCCCTGCCGCTCCCCTGCCCAGAAGTTGAGCCGTCTACATGGGGCATGATAGGCTGGTGACCGGGGCGCCGGGCCCTGGAACCTACCCACCTAGCCTTGACGAGGAGACAAGACCCGAGGCGGCCCCATCCCAAGACGCTGCTACACAATGAAGCGACTCCCCGCCCCACCCTCTTCCTCTGGCCACAAAGCCGAGTTAGGTCGTAGAGCAGCACCGCCCTCGCCCTCTCCCTCTCCTGCGCTAGCCTGCAGGAGCACCCCCTTCCCTAGCTGGCAGATTCAAGACCTTGGAAGACAGACCATTGCCCCATCCTCATCTCTGGCTTCTGTCTAAAAGGGGAGAGTTGCCCTACCTTTTTGCAAGACCTAGGGTATCACCCCAATTTCAGGGATGTCCCATTCACTCCCCTACCCCCATCCCCAATGATAAGGGACCTGTTGAATGGTACCCATTCTTGCTAGTGACTGGCTGAGCTCACCACTGCAGGTGGGTCACAGCCTCACCGGCAGGTACAGCTGGAAGCAACCAGAGAGACAATTAGATCCACTTTCTTCAGCTAGTAAATTCGGAAATTGAGTCTCAGAGAGGAACACTTCTTCCACCTTTAACTGTAGCCAGCTCCTCATGAACACTGAGATTTCCTGCATGAATAGTGTCTGTTCCTGAGTCTGGAATCCTGGGCTGTGATGGGACAGGTCCAAAGGCTGCATCTCTACCTACCTTTGGCCTGATCTATCTCTTACCTTGGCACTGGGATGAGGGTCTAAGCTGCTCTCCAAGAAGGGTAGCTAAGGGTGGAGGTAGGTTACTCATTACCCCATGCCACAGTGTCATCACACGGGCTGTGGCCAGTGCCTAGCAGCTTCTTCCAGAGGCTAAACTTCAAGGCCTTCAGACGCTGCTGTAAAGAGGTTTTTCAATTCCAGGATTCCCCCTTCTGCAGCTGGTCACACCTGCTCTCTGACTTTCTCCAGGAAGTGATGCGCAAACCCCTGACTGACCATGAGGCACCTGAGTGAAATGTTCTAGAAGAGCTTCCTGCAGACTTCACTGTCCTTCCATTTTCTAACATGGTTAGGCCTTGATGATGGACGTGGATCATCCATGGAAAATCTGGAAGGCCAGGAGGCCTTCTCACATACTCTGGGGTTGAAGTGGAGTATAAAGGGGATGGGTGGGGAAAGTGTCTACCCTCAACTACCAGTGCACACGCAGAAAATGCAAGTGGATCTTACTAGTAGCCTAAATAAAATGCCAGAAGGAGATATAATCAATGGAGAGTTGGGGGGGCAGAATCTGTGTATTCCCTCAGTGGAAAAAGGTTTTTTTTTTTTTTTTTTTTTTTTTTTTTTTTTAGCTGGGACCACAGGTAAATGCCACGATACCCAGCTAATTTCTTTTTTTTTTTTTTTTTTTTTTTTTTTTAATGATTTGGTTTTGAATTATTTTCACTGGAATCTGGACAGAGAATCATAGGATGGTGGAAAACCTCTGATCCAACACTATCAAGGTGGAAGTTGTTTGGCTAATTAGTATGAGTTTGAAAATCACTTAAAATATACATCTTAAACATCTTACATATTTTATTTGAAGGCATAAAAAGTTCACTTGATTGCCAAACCTTTTTTTTTTTTTTTTGAGATGGAGTCTTGCTCTGTTGCCCAGGCTGGAGTGCAGTGGCACAATGTTGGCTTATTACAACCTCTGCCTCGCAGGTTCAAGCGATTCTCCTGCCTCAGCCTCCCAAGTAGCTGGAACTACGGGCGTGCGTCACCATGCCTGGCTAATTTTTGTATTTTCAGTATAGATGGGGTTTCACTATATTGGCCAGGCTGGTCTCGAACTCCTGACATCGTGATCTGCTCTCCTTGGCCTCCGAAAGTGCTGGAATTATAGAACCACCAGGCCCAGCCACCAAACTTTTGATTAGGTACAAGCTGTGCTTTTTTGTGACCTGTATGTTTTGTCTGGTGGGAGTCCTACACTTAAGTTTTCTTGGTGTGTACTTTAATCATAACAATAAGAACAACTGGAATAAAAGAGTTTTGGAACAAGCAGAAGTGACCCTTGGTAAGCAGACAGCTCAGCTGGTGGGGCAAAAGTGTTGGGGAGAATTACAAAAAGGTCTCCACACTGTGGGCTTTCTGGGTGCCCTGGATATGGGTCAGCAGATGTTTTAGAGGAAATGGTTAACCTGGAGGGAGATTCAAAGGAGGCTGGATAAGAGAATATCTATTTTTCTTCTTCCCTACCACCTTACACATACCTATTATCTCCAAAGAAAGGGAAGACCTGAGGGGCTTTCAACGTGTTTTTTGTTTTTTTTTTTAAGACGGGGTTTTGCCATGTTGGTCAGGTTGAACTCCAAACCTCAGGTGATCCGCCCGCCCTGGCCTCCAAAGTGCTTGGATTACAGGTGTGAGCCACCACGCCCGGCCCAGCGTGGTGTTCTTTTTTAAGTAACTGGCTGCCGATGAAAACCTTTCCTGCCAACCGCAGGCATGTGGACAGAACTCACCAGCCTCCTCAGACACTGGGTGCCCTACTACAGGTAATCCCTGCTGGTGGCTCTCAAATTCATGAGGGTCCAGAAGTTGTTCCTCTGGATTCAGGTTGTTAAAGGGACTAATGATGTCTGCCTCCATTTCTATTTTTAAAAACTCAATAACCACAAATAAAAGAACAAAAAGTTTGAGAGTGTCCTTGTAACTATTTGATGAGTGGCTGGTGGTATTTTGGAGGGGACAAGTTGAGCATGTTCAAGACTGCCACAGCCAGCCTGTTTGCACCCAGATCACCACCACTAGCCACTAGAGGGAGTGGGTGAGAGGCCTGGACTACTTGGTGACTACATTTTTTTAAACTTATCATGAAAATATTCAGGCCAGGCGTGGTGGCTCACGCCTGTAATCCAAGCACTTTGAAGGCCAAGGTGGGTGGATCACCTGAGGTCGGGAGTTCAAGACCAGCCTGATCAACATGGTGAAACCCCGTCTTTATAAAAAAAAAAGTAAATAAATAAATGGAAAAAAAGAAAAAGAAAATTTTCACACACAAAAAAGTAGAGGGAAAAGTTTAAGAAGCCCCATATGCCTATCACCAAGGTTTAATGGTTACTAACATTTGGCCATATTTTATTTTTGTGTGTGGAGTATTTTAAGATAAATCCCAAGATGTTGTGACACTTCATGTCTGAGTACTTCAGTATGCACTACATAGGCATAAGAACTTCTTCCTATAATACTATACTACCATTATCACTCTTAACAAAATCTGAGTACTCAGTATGCACTACACAGGCATAAGAACGTCTTCCTATAAGACTATACCACCGTTATCACGCTTAACAAAATTAACAGTAATTCCTTAATATTATCAAATGTCCTGTCCATATTCAAATTTCCCTGTTCCCAAGAAATGATTCTTGCAGTTTATTTCTTTGAACAAGGACCTAATCAAGCCCCAAACATTGACAAGAAAGTTGCAGTTTATTTTTGTTGTTGTTATTTTATTCACAGCTTGTTTTAAAGTGGTTATATAGTATTATGTAATTCCACAATTAGCCTAATGATTCTCTTACTCAGATTTTTAGATCATTTGATTAAAATTCTTCCACAGTTGCAACCAAGATTCCTTCATATTTTGAAAAGAAATGTTAAAAATTGAGAGTAGACAGCACGGTGGCTCAGACCTGCAATCCCAGCACTTTGGGGAGGCCAAGGTGGGCAGATCACTTGAAGTCAGGAGTTCAAAACCAGCCTGGTTAATATGGTGAAACCCTGTATCTACTAAAAATACAAAAATCAGCCAGGCATGGAGACACATGCCTGTAATCCCAGCTACTCAGGAAGCTGAGGCAGGAGAATCATTTGAACCTGGGAGGTGGAGGTTGCAGTCAGCTGAGATGGCACCACTGCACTCCAGCTGGGCAACAGAGCCAGACTCCACCTCAAAAAAAAAACAAATTGATAGTGACAATATATCTAATATGACTTTTTATTTGATGAAAATACTTGTCACATCTTATGTTTTATTTCCTAGGACATGCTTGCAAATAGCAACCTAAAACCTTCTCCCTTTTCCTTGCCACTTAGAAACAAAAGACCAAAATTTATCAAAATAACTCAAGGGAAATCTTAAGAATTCCAATAACAGATAATGAAAAAATTTTGTCTATTTTTGATGCCATCGTTCATCATGTAAATTTCAGTCTATGTCTTAATATTCATATGATCTCCCAACAAAACACAAAGTTACTTCAAAATTTATTCATAGACAAATTATTTTTAGACAATTATTTTGATTTGTCACCTTGATTCATTTGTTAAAAGGGGAAATTGGCATCTGTTTCCTTTTATGAATATTACTACATATTGCATCAAATTAGCATTATTAAAGACTTAAACATAAGACCTAACACCATAAAAACCCTAGAAGAAAACCTAGGCAAAACCATTCAGGACATAGGCACAGGCAAGGACTTCATGACTAAAACACCAAAAGCATTGGCAGCAAAAGCCAAAATATACAAATGGGACCTAATTAAACTCCAGAGCTTCTGTAAAGCAAAAGAAACAATCATTAGAGTGAATCGGCAACCACCAGAATGGTAAAAAATTTTTGCAATCTACCCATCTGACAAAAGGCTAATATCTACAAAGAACTAAAAATCTACAGAATCGACAAAGAACTAAAAGAGATTTACAAGAAAAAACCAAACAAACCCATTCAAAAGTGGGCAAAGGATATGAACAGATACTTTACAAAAGAAGACATATATGAGGCCAACAAACATATGAAAAAATGCTTATCATCTCTGGTCATTAGAGAAATGCAAATCAAAACTACATTGAGATACCATCTCACACCAGTTAGAATGGCGATCATTAAAAAATCTGGAGATAACAGATGCTGGAGAGGATGTGGAGAAATAGGAACACTTTACACTGTTGGTGGGAGTGTAAATTAGTTCAACCATTGTGGAAGACAGTGTGGCGATTCCTCAAGGACCTAGAAATAGAAATTCCATTTGACCCAGCAATCCCATTACTGGGTATACATCCAAAGGATTATAAATCGTTCTACTATAAGGACACATGCACATGAATGTTCACTGCAGCACTGTTTACAATAGCAAAGACCTGGAACCAACGCAAATGCCCATCGATGACAGACTAGACAGAGAAAATGTGGCACATATACACCATGGAATACTATGCAGCCATCAAAAACGATGAGTTCGTGTCCTTTGTAGGGACATGGATGAACCTGGAAACCATCATTCTCAGCCAACTGACACAAAAACAGAAAATCAAACACTGCATGTTCTCACTCACTAGGTGGGTGTTGAGCAATGAGAACACATGGACACAGGGAGGGGAGCATCACACCACACTGGGGTCTGTGTAGGGGAACTAGGGGAGGAGGGACAGTGGTGGGTAGGGAGTTGGTGAGGGATAACATGGGAGAAATGCCAGATATAGGTGATGGGGAGGAAGGCAGCAAACCACATTGCCATGTATGTACCTATGCAACAATCTTGCATGTTCTTCACATGTACCCCAAAACCTAAAACACAATAAAATATATATATTTTTTAAATTAGCATTATAATACTAAGGTGCTAAAGACAAAAACAAAAATCATTTCTTTATCATATTCAAGGCAAAAATAATAATTTAAGTTTCTAAAAATATGCAAGTTTTTATATAACTGAAAAAGGTGTTCACAAGCCAATAGAGGTTGGGAAGTGTTTTCTAGAACATTTTACTGTATTGCATTCCAGTTACAATTCTTTTGCTGGAACAAATATAATATTCTTTAAAGCCCTGCAGTAAAAGTTGGAAGTTTTCCAGCTTGGGCTCCCGTCTCAGCTAGGATTTGATTCAGGGAAAATTACATTCCAGGAACAAGCTGTTCCTCTCTGTGTGAACTGAGCACTGCCGCTAACTGCCTCCAAGCCACTTCTGGCACCTGCTCAGGGCCATGGGACTTTCTAGAATCCAGGTCAAAGGGGGATACAGTTGAGGTTGGCCTCTTCTTAGTAGAAAATAAATCAAGCCACTAGGCAAAAGAAAAAAAAAAAAAGGCTCCAAACTCCAAATGGAATGGCAGAAATATGTACTTTGTCCAAATAAGCCAGCCCAATAATACTGCTATAAACAGAAAAGACTTTGTCATCAAGAAACTCCTTTAACATTTGAATGACGCTTTACAGTTTACAAAGTGCTTTCACTCATATTATCTCACTTGATCTTGAGAGGGTGGGAGAGTA